GTTTGAATTTTTTTGCTGTGGTTGATGTTGTGGGGTTGAAGCCCTAACTCTTGGCCATTTTTTTCAAAAGTTGAAGAAAAACTCCATCACCTTGTCAACAAGTTAACTAAAGTTGCACAGTCTTGTCAAAGTGCAAGGTCTGATTTACAAAGCAGTTTACAAGTACTATCGATTACTCTGTATAAATAAATAAATACAACCATAGCAGTTTACAATCTGCATATTAAAACAAAGTAACAATTTTGTTTCTTGAAGACTGAGCTCTCCAGAAGTCAACGAGCTGACTCAACTTCTGATTTTTGGGGGATTCTATTTTTACTCAGAATCCCTATAAAATCAGTACTGTTAGAGGGCACTGTACAGTACAGTACCCATGCAACAAGATCTGGAGAACCTGGAAGCTGAATCCCAAAGTGTTGTTCCTAAACAAAAACGATTATCTTAAAAAAGGGATGATAAGGTCACACTTTATAATCTGAACATGTACAAACAATTACTGAAACTGTCGAATTTACTAGTAAACGTGGACAATTTTCTAAAAACGAAATTGCCCGATTACTTATAATTCACGATTGGCAAGGAAATTGCGTTATCTAGTAAATATACACTGACATAGAATACCTATGAAGTAGCAGAAGAACAAACATCAAGAATTTGATACCTTCATAGATTTTATCAGGTACATGTGTATTAATGTCAGGAACCCCACAGCAACTGCCAATCGTGACTCAATATTACCTGGCTGGCTTGCAATATTGATTATCGGAGTAAACAACACCCGATTGCAACAGACGAAACGTGTTTCAAGGCTGCGAATTCAATTACGATGAGAATAACAACATGAACGCTATACATCAGCTTGGATCACCAAATTATGCCTTGGAAACTCTCTAAATTGAATGGACATGATTCCTATTACAATCACATTGCCGACAAGGTTCACACTACTAATGAACAACTGAATTCTAATATAAATCACAGAGATCCTGAGGCAAGTTTTGTGCCACTTCCTGCCTCAAACTTCACTTCTCATTAGAGCCCACATGAGATGGTATGCTACATATCAGACAAGCAATAGACAGACTAGCCACACCTAATGTTTAAGGTCTTAATCTGGTGTATCAGAGGTTATATGTACACTTTGCTTGTTCCAACTTGCTTCCATTGTTTAAAGCTTAGCCAAAGAATGTTTGACATACTGATTGCTTTTATACTTTGTGTCGTTTTTGAAAATACTACTATGGGTCAACCCCCCACAATCGCAAATCACTAGTCTGTTTTGCTGCATTGCTAGTTAGTCTTGTCGCATTGCTAGTCTGTCTTGC